TCAACCATTGTTGGAATTTGATGCCATTTGTGACATTTATTTTCTAACACGTGGGGCAATGATGAAAATGGGCTAGGCCCAAAGCTGCTGGAATGTTTTGGAACTAAAACTATTGCCCAATAACTTAAAAGGAAAAGCCTAAGATCCGGCCCAAACTTAAATGCCAAGTGTGTTGCTCTGGTCTGTTGGATCTGCAGCCTGATCTACGGTTGGATGGTTGCCTATATGTTAGATATTGGAAGGCCATTTTCTGGTGTGATTTTTCATTCTGTTTAGTGAGGTTTTTGGCTTAGTGCAGTCGCATAGACTTGAACTATGCGGCTGCACTGGAGCCTTCAGAAACTTGAGCAGGCTGGTTCCTGCCTTCCATGTGGCCGCATGGCTCATTTTGCGCGCCGTCCGGATTTTTCTCCTTTTACGTTATTTTTAACGTACTTTCCATATTTTACATATTTCTAGGGTTTGGGACGCCCCCTATAAATATGTAGCCCCTCCCTTCATATTAGTGAAGCAAAATACACATTGTTATTTTGTATGTTCTCTATTGGTTGTTATAATAAAATCATTCATCTTCCAATTCTTCTTTGTTCTTTACTTTTAATCTCGTCTTTATGTTTTGCGATCATATACTTCAATTGTGTCAATATCAAATCTCTATTTCTCCACGGTGGTGTACAAAACTTTTTTGTTAGATCTTAACAGAATAATGCCAGAGAAGTTGGTGTTAATGTAAGTTATTTATTTGCTCTTTTTAGCCTTTCCACAGTTGAGTCAACATTAATACCGTGATTTTCATTCGTTCAACAACACAAAATCATATTCCTTACTTTTTCTTGCTTCTAGATTTAAAAGAGTAAAAGCCCAAAACAATAACAATTACTATAATAGAGATGATAATTTTTTTTTTTTTTGTCTCATGCACGTGACGTGACTACATTAGCTAGGTTCATTACTATGAAGATGGGTGGTATTTGTGCTGTATGCGTGGTGGGTGGCGACAGGTAGGGATAGGCGCGAGTCGGTTCAGTTCAGTTCGATTTTGTTCGATTTCAGAAATTTTCGGGTATTTAGTAAATGGAACCGTTCGGGTTCGATTCCGTATTATAATTAATTTTTTTAACATTTAGAATAACACTACATAAATACACATGAAAGTAGATACTAATA